TGAAGGGCAGGTGAACAGTATTCACCATCAATTAAATAATTTTGTTACTGCAAAGTCCTTAAGATCTGGAGAAATGAAGCCTGTGGTCCATCACCATGTAGGTGATGTGCCAAGAAATGGATTTTCACCAAAACTAGCACTGAGTAGAACCTTTATGACCACAGGGAAAAATATTCTGGAGTGTGAAAATGTTAACCTTATTTGTTAATCTGGGGGACAAAGGCATATCCATAAGCAGAAACCATGGGTTGTGAATCTAAGCTGCTTTCCTTGTTAGCTTTCACAGATTCCTTACAAACAATTGGTGGAACCCCAGGTAGTCACAGAGCACAGAATGAAAACCACCCATTTTAACAGAACCTGTTACTGGGTGAACTGTTTTGGGGCTAGAGGCATAGCTTTTGACAAAAGAAAGTCAGACTGCGATCCAATAATCCTCTCTGACACAGGAACATGTCAGTGGAGTAGAAGCCCCTTGTTCTGCTCTGCCTGAGAGTGACAGTGTCACCTACACTTGCACCCTCCAGCTGGATCTCTGTGTGGAGCGGTAGCCTGGGGGATTTGTGGATCTCTGCATGGAGACTCTCTGGACCTCTGGGTGGAGAGGTGGTGTGGAGGACCTCTGAGTAGAGGGGTATCACCGAGGATTTCTGGATCTCTGCATGGAGGCACAGCCCATTTCCAGTTTAATTAGAGAGTGATGTATCTGCTGTTGTAAAGGAATGACTGGCCCCTTTGTGAATGCATTTTCCACATGCTTCTCCTGCTTGTTGGGTGTGTCTGGTTTGTGAATCCCATGTGGCCTGAGTGAAATTCCAGCGTGAGTATTTCAGCAGAAGTACAGCAATACCCACTGACATGTTTTGGTGAGGGACAGACTTGTAGGTACAGGAAAGAAGTGTAGGAAACAAAGAAATGCTTGAAGTAGGGAAGTGTAAACTGGAAGCAAGTGAAATGGTTGACTCACATCAGGAGAGAGTCACAAAATAACCCCACACATGTTAAGAGAGAAAATAATGAGGAATATCCAGGTGGAAAACTGCCAGACACAGCTTATTTCAAACTATCTTCAAGAGGATTGGAGATGATCACAGTACAGCCAGCAAGGTGAGAACTGTAAGAGATGGACAGTTTTTGAAGCAACCAGGACATTTGAAGAAAAAAAGCAATTTTGGCAGGTCAGGGAAGCAGTGCAGTGGGAGAAGCCAGCTTTCAGAAACTCAGCTGCTTGGCTTTTTTCACCTGAAACTAAAAGGTTTTTTCTCCATTTTAGAAGTTTTACTTGGGTTTTAAAGTCATTCTGTGGATGCCGTTTTTAGCTCTTCTTCAAGGGACATCTGGTAACATGCAAAGGAGACTCACATTCCAGTCATACCTGTTTGGCTGCATCTGCAATAATTACGGGGTAATAAATAGTTTTGCCAGTGTAGTGAATGAAAACACTTTACCTAATGCACTGGCAAGAGAATATGTACGATTGCATAGATGTAAATATTTATAACTGCTCAGTTACCGGATCAAAACAAAGATTCAATACAATGTTTGTTTTTAAAGGCTTTCCTGAAAACATGGAAGCCTTAACAGGACCACTGGAGGGCAGCAGTGTCAAAGCGAATCATCCATCAGTCTACTTTTGGGAATTGCTTGGTGAAAACCCAAAAAAACCTTAGAAAAAAATAGAAATAACTAGAAATAATTTTCTGCTGCCCAGATTCAAGTGTGTAAAACACTGCAATTCTACAGTAAAAGACAGCGCTGCAGTATCAGTTCCTTTTCTTTCCTTCATCCCAAGAATGCCACCTGAATTCTGCATGACGTGTCCTGCTGCCAGGAAATACAAAAATATCAAAAAATATTCAGAGTCTTGACGCATTCTGAACCCTATGGATTTATGTTTTACACAAAATCAATATATAATCCAAGAATATTTTGTGTATCTTTTATATAGATAGCTGGATATAAAATTTGAATTATATTTACATTTGAGATATTTCCAAATTAATCCACACTGTTGTTAATACAGGGGGGGCAGCATGTTCAGCAGAACTTTTACCTTTTATTTATATTTTTAAGTGTCCTAAATTTCATCATTTCAAAGAAACCTTTCAAATATCAAGTGAGTGGAATCCCTTTAGTGAGTCCTCCCTCTGTAAGGAAGTCCACTGACATTAGTGAAGATTTTGGGGTCACCGTGAAGATAAATATATGAACTTTCCAGCAAGCTATTCTGATTTAGTGAAAAAATATTATTATTAGTCCAGTATTTATAAATGTAAGGAATGCATGTTGACAATAATTTCAGATTACAGTTAGGCAAACACAATTATCCATTGGTTATAAATATACAAAGCAATATACTGGCTGATTTACAGACCCAGGACATAACATCTGTCTGTATTTTTGATAAAAGAGGAGCAAGGTAAATAAAACTGGTATGGAGCTTGATATTTTTGTACAAAATATAAGATACAGTCCCACTCTGCAATGTAGTTATGTGCACATCATCTCTTACTAAGTAATTGAGCTCCTTGTTTGTATTCAAATCACATCTGGCTATTTTATATACAAAAATGTTCTGTTAGTGTCAGTCGTATATGCAGGATAAAGTTTCTGTTTGGATTGGGTTTTTTTCCCATTTCCTATACTCGTGAGTCTCTCTTCAGCCTTTGGAACTTAAATATCTTATACTGGTGATAAAGAGGATGATATATATGCAAATTGTTCTTCATATTTATATGGAAATGTGTGTGTGTATATATATATGAATTAAACAGCTTTACACAAGGAACAGTGGCGTTTCATTTTTAAGTTACTCTGAGTAAATGATAATGGCATAAAAATGGAAATGTAAGGAAAATTACATCAGTGTCATATGGGAAATAATTGTGTATTGCTCTGGCCCAGTGTTTAAGCCCTCCCTTCTGATCCTGCAGTTGGCTACTGGGCAGATGGATCTCACCTGCACTTCCAGATTTCATGGACTGTAGTTTGAAAAAGAAAACCAAGCTTCTAAACTGAGATGATGTGCTTGGCAAGTTACTGAAAGACAGTAAAGATGAAAGTACAGAAAGTTTTTTCCACTGTCAGTTTTCATGTGCATCTATATACTATTTTAAACAAAAACATCTGCTTTACTGTCACCATTTTAAAGGCTGGAAAAGAATTATTTTTTAAAATGCTGGAGTTTATTAATATTCCAGTTAACAAACGTGTTATAATTGACTGTAATGCCACATGATGAGAAAAGTTGGAATTCTGATATGGAAATGTGTTAAAATGTGGATGCTCCAGCCTAATTTTAAAGGCAAGGACACATCTATGAGCCTGCACAGAAAAAAAGCTGTTTAAGAGCACAAGTTTGATGAGGAGCAGCTGAGGGAGTTGTTTAGCCTGGAGAAAAGGAGGTGCAGGGCAGACCTTCTTGCTCTCTACAACTGCCTTAAAGGAGGGTGTAGCCAGGTGGGGTTTGATCTCTTCTCCCAGATAACAAGTGACGGGACCAGAGGAAATGGCCTTGAGTTGTGCCAGGAGAGATTTAGGTTGAATATTAGGAAAAATTCCTTAGCTGAAAGGGTTGTCAAGTATAGGAACAGGCTGCCCAGGGAAGTGGTGGAGTCACCATCCCTGGAAGTGTCCAAAAGATGTGTAGATGTGACCCTTGGGGACGTGGTTTAGTGGTGAACATGGCAGTGCTGGGTTAATGGTTGGACTCAACGATCCTAGAGGTCTTTTCCAAGTGAATCAGTGATTCTATGATTCTGTGAAAGCTGTGAACATTTTCTATTCGAAAACACAGGTACCTGGTCCTACCCATGTCAGACATCTGTGATTTCTCTGTCTTAGCCTTTAGAATGGGATATTGCAGATTTGCCAAGCTTTCCCTTGGCCAAGCTTCCCTTTTTTTTTTTAACAGGGAAACTAAAAACACACAGTGCCTCTGGGTCTAATCTGGAGTCTTATTCCAAACGCAGACTCTGGGGAGCTCTAAAGCTGGTGACACCCTGTAGTCTCAAGCCCTTGTGCCTACAAACACCAATTGATTTTCAACCACCCCCACGGCTGCTGTGGGCTTTGCAGCCCCAGCCTTTGGCTTATCTGATGGGGGAACAACACCTGTTGGTTAATTATAATTAATTTTGCAATGTTTTTTTTTTTTTCCATGAGGGCTGTTACATTGCCAACCTCCGCTTCCAATCCCTGCAAACCCCGATGGAGCCCAATGATCCTGATAGAGATGGAGAAGCACCAGGGGCCACAGTCTGGTTCCCGCAATCTGAGCAAAAAAGAGTGGAAGAGGCGAGGGAGGAAAAAGAAAGAAAGAAAGAAAGAAAGAAAGAAAGAAAGAAAGAAAGAAA